TTTTTGACCTTATATTTAAAAAAAAACTTTTTTAATAGTAAAGGACATTTGAATTATGTCCTCGCCTTTAATTTAGGGACCCATCTTTAGTGTCAGCCACAAAGAACAATGATGCCAGAATGCCGATAAGTATAAATGTGGGAACACCGAGGGAGTGAAAGCAAGTGAGAAAACCAGAGAACGATGGGAGTAATAATACTACAGGAATAGGAAGAAAGTTAATAAGTAACTACCATGTAAAAGATAACAAGAAAGGAACAAAAAATAATGACATTGTGGAGACAAAGGGAGAACCAAAAGTCGATCTCCAAGATAATGAAGATGAAGTAGTAATGGTACCAACTGGTGACATCATAACCACAAGTAGTGATGACCTGGGAGATCCTAGCAATCAGAAGTTAGTAAGAGACAATCGTGTGAAAGGTAACAAGGAATGAACAGAAAGCAATGACCTCACAGAAACAAAAGGAAAACCAGGGGTCGACATCCAGATTATGAGAATAGAGTAGTGATGGTATCAAACAGTGACATCATGACTGTGAATTGTGATGATTCGGGAGGACCTAGTAAAAAGACAAATTGTGAGTTAGCCAGTAACAATCATGTGAAGAATAGCAAGGGAGAAACGAAAAATAATAACCTTGTGAAGATAAGAGGACTAAGAACTGATTTCCAATTCAATAAGAATGAAGTGATGAGAGTACTGACCACTAACACTATGATTGTAAGCTGTGATGATTCAGGAGAATCATGCAGAAGAGAAAATCAAGAATTAGTAATTGGTGATAAGAGATACTGTGACACAAATGGACTTACTGATAGAAAACCTGATGCGAGTGAAGGTGGATTGGGATGTCACAAGGATGAAAAGATGATAATTGATGACCCTTCTGATAAGGGTAAAACAGAGAATGAAATGAAGGGAGAGACAGTAATAATTAATGCAAGGAAATTATAGGCACCCAGATACAAAAATGATGGTAATGGATGAACACGCTTAAGGAGTTAATGATAGTATATGTAAATGTCATTGCAAAACCAATACATTGTACAATAATGATTATTGTCATAACGGTACTAATAACTAATGGAACTGTCTTGAAATCTGAGTGTGCAAGAATAATATGACATATTGATAGCATTAGCAGAAAAGCCGATTGGTGTACAGAAGGATAAAGGGAAAGAGAACGCAAAAAAAAAACACAACAAAGGTTACAACTGACAAAGATACATATTGACCACATCATTATTAAAGCAAGTGTGAAAAAGAAATGGTAGTGTTAAAGTGAAAAATGAACTATATAAATAATGAGAAAAATAAAAGTAAAATGAAGTACAATATAAAAAGTAATATGATAGATATGCAAAAGATATTTAGTATTTCTAGTATATTTTAGTATCTTTAAATATTTAGCAGGTATAACGAGTAATTATTAAGTACAATATAGACAACAAGTATAAAGTTGGATAATAAGTCCAAAGCTGGCTAAATTATATCAGGCATAAAAAGTATAAAAATAAGATGACAATATAAAAATATAGCAATAAAGGAGGATAGGCATTGCATACTAAAAAGGTTATCTATTTTGAGAGTGTCACTAAACAAAGGAGTGATCACGTAGAAGGTTGACAGTTATGACGCACAATCGACGGATTGACCTGCGTCATTGTTAAACTCAAGCCAAATATACATGTCTCTTTTAAGGAGAAACCATTCTCCAACGTAGTACGGCATAGACAGAACAGAAGCGACAAACTTACTGCATTTTATCGTAACAGTAGTGTGAGCAAAAAAGTAAAAATCGCAATACATGCTATGGGCGATGATTGCTCATAGTACTTGCAAGCAATGAGGAAAAGGAAAATTGTGAAAAAAAAAATGGAATGGATGGATGGGAAAGTGGGATAAAAAGAGAAATGGGATAGTGTTAGTTTAAGTATAATTTAGGATTTATTCAATGATGACATTAGATTAGCTTACTGTGTTTATTTTTACTTTTAATTTCTACTTCGATCAATCGATTATCAATTATTCCCCTTTATCTTTACCCGATTGATTGATATTTTTATTTTTCTATTTTACTTTATTTTGAAAAAAGCAAAAAAAATAAAATCGAATCGAAAAAAATTTTTGAGCAAAAAAGAATATTTTATTTTATTTTCATTTTTTATTAGTATAGTGATTCTTATTTTTGAAATTAAACAAATAGTTGAAAATATCTATTATCTTTTTGATCTTTTATTTCTTGTAATTTATGTGAATGAATAATATTGGATCCAGATATAGCTGTAGACGACCTTGGTTCCTAGAGATAGGAATCCATAACATATGCT